TCAGATTAATTTATGCATTGATAATTGATTGTTATGTTTTACTCTGAAATATTATTTATTGGTGAATCTATAGTCTAGGCCTTTTATTATTATTTTCCTCCCTTAATCAATTTGCTTTAGTTTAATTATTAGTTTAATTCTCATTAAAAACAATTACTTTTGATTAGGTGATACGATTTTAGCCTGTCAAATACCTCAACAGACAAAAATTTAAGCTGAGTTCGAAACTCAAAACTCCATTTTCTTTGCTGACCCGAGGAGATACCCCGCGGCGAAGAATGCTCCAATCTGGATCAGCTTATTAACAGCTAGGTCGGGTAAAGAATGAGAAGGAAATGGAGGGATAGAGGGAGCTGGGGGGAGAGGCGGGAGCTCCGGAATCTGAGGCAGTTGTGGGATTGGAGGGAGTTCCGAAATCGGAGGGAGTTGTGGGATTAAAGAGAGCTCCGAAATCGAATGGAGTTGTGGGATTGGAGGGAGCTCCGGGAAAGGAGGAAGGGCTGGAAGAGGAGGCGGAATCTTTGACGAACCAAATAAGAACTCCAATCGATATCGGTCGGAACCCACATAGAATCCCCTTAAAGCCGCCAGTGCACACCTACGAAGGTAATCGCGTGCATTCTCATTGAAATCGATGATTGTGGCATCTTCATCGGCGGGTAAGTCGGCGATTGCTCCAGCTGACGCCGCCTTTACCCAGTGGATTGAGGCACCCGATTTTGCAGATTTATTGTCGAATTCCTCAACACTGCCCCAATCAACACAACCTCGTGCGAGGTCAAGTAACCGAGCTTTCTCTTTTGATGAAATTCCAGAAGAGAATAACAACTTAAATTGAGCAGATTTTTTAGCGAAAACACAACCAAGCAATTCGAGTAGTTGGTCTTCATTGTTGACAAATAGGGTATACGACCGACAGAGTAGCTCCATATGAATTGATTAGACTTTTGAATAAAGTGTTTGGTTTTTTTTAAAAAATTAGAGGTTATTTGTTTAGGGGATAAAAGAGGTTGGGTAAGGATAAAAAAAATAAAGATAGAAGAAAAGTAGTGTTTGTTTAGAAGGATGGGATTAGAAGGGGGTTAGGGATATGGATAAAAATACCAACTTATCTCTCCATTTCTATAATTAGGGGGGTGGTATAAGGGGAAGAGATAAGAAATGAGTTGAAAAAGTCCAAATTATCCTTAATGAAATTAAAGGGTAGAAGTTAGTAAGGGTACTTTTATAAATTTATTACTTATCCCTAATTTGTTTCCCATAATTACCAAACAAGGGATAAAAAAAATGGTTTTTACCACCACTTAACTGATTCATGGATGAAATCCGTAAGCCTCTTAGGACCCTTTAGGAACCCCCCCAAAAAAAAAACAATGCATAACCTTTTGGAGTCCAAAAATGTCTTTTGAAGGACAAATTAAATGTTATTTTGCTTAATTGGGCCATTTTTTTAGAATTTGAGATCCGGTGTAAAAAACTCAAGTGGTGGTAGGAAATGCATCTTGAGGTCATATAATGTTGTTTGAAGCAAAATATGACCACTAGTCGGTCACATAACGGTCTAGGGTGATCTTGAATTTACAAAGAGAAGTATATATGTAGCTAGCTAACGCAAATTTTTAGCTAGGGTCGCGCCCAGCTAGCTCTGGTTGGAGTCGCGCAAGATGAACATTTACTAGAAAAAAAAAATGAACATTTACTAGTAAAAAAATGAACATTTATTTTTAACATTGCAATGTATAAAAAAGAACATTTATAATATAAGAGTAAAATAAAGAGACTATGAAACTAAAAAATAGGATTGTACATCTAATATTTTATAACTGATCATTTCAGTTGTAAATAAAAATGAACATATATAATGTTATTGCTTATTCATCAACATTTTTTTAAGTTTCAAGTGAAATACCTTGATTTGTTCAATTCTCTTGAATGTATATCTTGCAATTCGCTGAAATATATGATTTAATACCAATTAAATAAATCAACAATATGTTTTTTTTAATAATGAACAAAATGTTAGTGTCTTATATTATTAAGGCTAATATTAATTGAACATCCTTTACTATAAAAACGAATATTTTATACAACTGAACAAACACAAAAATTTGTATTAATTAAAAAAGAAAATGAACATATATTTTATAAGAATGAACATCATACGGCATGAAAATGAACATTTATTTTATAAGAATGAACATCATACTGTATGAAAATGAACATTTGATTATTGAGAAATACAAAATTATCGTAAAATATGTTCAGTTAGAAAATGTTCATTTTTGTTATAATAATTGTTCATTTTGGTGGTGATCTCATAAATACGTAGATAGGCTCGACCTCAGCTATTAACGATTGCAATGTAAGGCTTATATATGTTATTGGGCCTCTTGTTAATTGGCTCTGTTGATTGAATAGAATGTTTTGGGCTGAATACAAGGATTACAATCCATAATGTCAGCCAGAACAGCCACATTGTGTGTTCAAGCATATAAGTAAGTTAAACCCATAGATTTTTATTTATATGCCTCACTTGAATTTATTTTCAAATCATATTACTAATAAATAAAGCCGGTCTCGCATACAGGCCACGAGACAGCGACACTTGGCATTCCAATTTTTCGCCAAGTGTCGCGCCATATAGGCGACAAATCGGTATTATTATGACACATATGATGCTAAGTAAACGGTTTTTGCATAGATTTTTTAAGATAAAAATGTTGTACAGAGTTTTATTATCATTATACTTCTAATATTTCATATATACAAAATTAATCATAATTTTTAATAAATATCCTACAACTTGGTTTTATTTCCATCATAAAATTTGTTTCAAAAAGTTCTTTAAAATAAGATCCATTTATAATATATTTAATTTAGAAAAAAAAAATAATAGACAATCAACAAAAATAAGTTTTAACCAGTAAAAATAACTTTGATTTGGTAAAAATACTTTCAGTTTAGTAAAAATAATTTAAGTTCAATAACAATAATTTCAAGTCAATAATAACATAGATATCTATTTACAAACAAAATTACAAAAAGTACACTATTTATAAATAAGCGATAGGATATCGTATGTCTAAATATCCTACATTATCAAAAGGGATTAAATGATCATATTAACAAATATTCAAGCCAAAAAGTTTATCCTAAAATTTTATCAACAATCCGGACATCGTCCGAGTACAAAACTAGTACGAGGTATACATTCATAATACAATGTCACTAGAACTTGTATGTAAGTTAATATACATCTTTGAAATTTGTATATAGTTCTATGATAAGACCCTAAATGTTCTATGATACTAGCAAAACAGTAAATGTTTAGTAGCAAATGTTCTATGATAAGACCCTAAATTTGTATATAGTTCTATGATAAGACTCTAAATTCACAATATACTAATTAAGTTCTATGATAATAAGACCCTAAATGTTTAAACAGTTTATGATTTCGAGGCTAATATATTTTTTATTTTTCAAAATTGTGGTTTTGAAGGGAAAGATTAATCTAAACTATATTTAGTAGCAAAATATTACTCTATACTTAAGTTTATCAAAACGATACTAGCAAAACAGAGAGCTTGGTGTTACTTTATAGTAAAAAAAAAAAAAAAGTTCTAAGCCATGCTTTGGAAGCAACTACCAAGTTGTATCCCACCCCCTCCACTTCAAACACACCTCCATGGACTTTGCAAGCGGCTAGCCAATAAGTTGTTGGCTAGCCGCTTGGCAACAACCACAATGTCCCTTCAATCCTTCTTAACCGCACCAAACCCACATTCGCCAGTTCTTGGTGCTACGTGCCCTACCATTGATATCATACGTTAAGGCTAGGAACAACAGTGTTAGCAAATTCGTATCCTACCAATACAGTGATACACCCACTCCTCACGACGGTTCACTGCTTGCTTGCTGCCTCGGTGAATCAAGCCGATCACAAAGTGTACAAGTCCTATATAGCAGTTCATGTACTTGTGATGCTTTACATCAGTTATTGGTGCACTGCTCACATAAATACATTATCATCCTCACCTTACACCTTGTTATAAGTATAAATAAATTACCATTTAGTATCAGAAAACAAACAATTAACAATTAGACTTAGATCTCTGACACTTGACCAAAGATTTATCCCCATTCTAAATCTATAATCAAAAATATTTTAGAAGTGTCAGTCAAATGTAAGGAATTAATAGTATATGCTAGAGGTTTATGGTATATGGTATATGATCTATTGATCTGTCATCAACAAGTACTTATATAGAAAATTGAAGATCAGACAGTTGAAATATCCAATAAATTACTTCTAAGATGGGACATTATTAATTACACTAATTCCACAATTACTACGTGTCTACGTAGTAATATGAACTTTTATCTCTAAAGCATGAAGATAAGGGATTAGGGTTTCCATCGTGAACTTCAATCTCATGGTTAAGGAAAATAAATAACTTCCCATGTCAAAATACTGAAGCAGGTTTACTTTATTTACTACTCTGTAAAAAACCTCTTAACCCTAAAATACATGTCTTTCATGCCTAAAATTTTGTGTTATTAAATTCGGATAAAATATATTTTATTCTTTTCAAATTAGATGACACAATTTAACTTTGTACTCTATTAACATAACTAGCTTTGACTTCATTTGGTGATTGGATGTTAAGAAAAAAAATATTACATGAGGGGTCTTGTTAGATTCGTCTCAACATCAATTTTTTAAATATCAAATTTTTTTATAATTTTTGCCAATATATAATCAAGGATATTTGCATTAAAATGTATACATCGACAAACGCACCTAAATGAAACGTGTTATCTAATATGAAACTGTATTGATCAATGGTCAATTCCATTATGGACCATTACCGCTCCTCCACTTGGACTAATCAACACAAGCGCGTCATTTCAGTTGTAACTTGTATGAGTTGTTTGTTTCCTAAAGCAAACATAACTTAGCCAATTCCCTCTTTTTCTTGCTCTACATAAATACTCCTTTTTCATTTTTGTATTCTTTATTAAAACAAATATTTTCTACCAACTCCATCAAGAATCAGTCCAAGTCTTCTCTCTTTAATCATCTAAACAACTAATACTAAACCCACTATAATTTTGTTTTTTGGGTTTGCAAAGCTACAATCTTTCTGGGTTTTCATCTTGTTGCAATAAAAGGGTAAGTTTTCTTTAGTGATCAATGATTATATTTTTGAAAATTATGCAATTTTTCATAATTTCTGTAGCAATTTGATGTTGATTTGTTGTTTGCGCAAAACCCAGTTCATGAATTTATCATAAAGCTTCAGGATTTCCCATTAATTGGTTGTTTTATGATCTTTGTTTGTTGTTTTATTTGTGAGATTTTGTTGTCTTGGTTTAATTGTATGATATGGCAAAATGGTGAATGGTAATTGCAAACCCTAATTTTATTTGTATGATTTGATTAGGTAAATAGTTCCAATGAGAAGAATTTGTTGCTATTTTTAGAAATAGCATTGTCAAGTTAAGCAGTGAATAACTATTTTAGGGTGTTTTTATAAACCTCTGTTATGCAAATGCAATTAGGGCTCACCTTTGAATCTTAAGAATAAGGAAATTTTAGGATTTGTTTTGTTCTTCCACATTTGTTTGCATTGACTCTAAAGTTAAAGAAAAAAAAAAATGTTAGAAAGGGGATTTTGCTTTATTGAAAGGAATATTGCTGATGCAAAGATGTGCCTACACCGGTGCACATTAGGCTGTCATGATGATAGTCATTGATTCATCGCGTGTTGTCCAGTCCATGTTAGGCAATCTTATAGATTACGAATTTAGGTTTAGATTATGACAACTTGGTAAGGCCGTATCAAAATTTTGTATGCAAAGACATTGTAGGTCTTCTGTAGACCATTTTAGCTAGTGCTATACTTTATTTAGGGCTGACATTGCCTTTTTTTCCGCTGTTTTCTTTGATTTAAGTCCATTTGAAAGTTTGACGACTTATCACTTAATCCTGATTAGAGTAATTCAATAGATGAGTTAAGTGCCCTTGAGAGTTGAGACTATAATTGGGGCATGTGGAGGCAGACTGCTGCTCTACCAAAATAGGTTGAATACATTGGTTTAAAGTAATATAAGATTCCTTCTCCGGCCTAAATTGTACAGTATGTAATGTTTAGAATTAATGTACGGAACTATCTGTGTAGTACAACTCTGCAGCCTCTTATTTCAGTTGTTAATCAGGTGTTCAATTTGCTCTGTACGGAACTATGGATACATAGTGGTCAACAAGATTAGCTAGCTGCAACCTGATAGATTATAGAGTTTCCCATTCATATGACAGTAGATGTAAGGCAAAAGTTCGACAGGTTTTATGTGTTTTGCTTACTCAGTTATTGGTGTCATTATCCTGGCTCTTCTTGGTGGGATCAGTTTTGGTAGCTCAATGATAATTAGGCTTGGGCAGTCATGTAAGAATAGAGGCAATCTGTTTTTATATTTCAAGGAATTGATGTTCAGTTAAACACTACCTAGGTTGTATGTTTTGTTTTCAATCAACTATTTGTAATTCACATCTTATTTTACTTTGTTATGCAGTCAGCTCAAAAGAAGTTTAAGATGCTCTCATTGCCTACATACATAAAGAAATCAAAGCATGGTTAACAAAACTGAGTTGGCCTTTATATGCTCCTCTGCGGGAGTTTTGTTAGGCATTTTCATATCGTCAGTGGTATTTTTCTGTTTTAGATGGTACAAAAGGCACTCAGATTTGGAGAAACTTGGTATATCAAATCGCCCTATCTGCAAGAATGGCTGTGGCCTGGGACTAGACTCTAGTACCTCGATGTCAGAATCTGTTGTTGTCCCTCTACCAGATCTCCCAGCCAAAAGCTTGCCACCCTTATGGTTGAATCATCATAATAAAGATCGAACAAATTCAGTTTCAGGCATACCAAAATACTTGTACAAGTAGGTTTTCTATGGCTCTAATTGGTGCTTTACGATGTTCTGGCTCTTGATGCTTGTCTCATTGAGTCATAGGGTATATAGAGTAATATATCAGGAAGAGAGGGAGAGGGTCATTTATTTGATATCTTCCTGTCTATTTAAGAAAAAAATTCTCCTATAGTGTTCCTTTTTATTATTTTTTTAATCGACTAAACGGATTTTCCAAGTCCTGAAATCATGATTGTTTCAAGGTGACCATGCCATAGTGTTGATAGGGTAGAAAATGACCCAATAACAAATGCCTTGTTCACCATTTTGGCATAGGTTTTATGCATATTATTTTGTAGCAAAATGTGATTAAAATATTGTTGGTCAAGCTACTTATCTGTTTCTTACTGGGTCAATACAGTGCATCTGCAATTTATAGGTCAACTTGCAACTTGTTTTGCCTTCATAAAAATATTGGCGGACAAGTGGAGAATGGGTGCTTACAGTCATCTCATAATAAATCAAATGAACATGAAGAACTATCTTTAGTGACACATTTTGGGATAAATTTGTTGCAACACTTTTGAATATTTGTAGAGAAAGGTAGCAATATATCATCTATTTAATATCTTGTACTATTGAGTATTGACAAAATGTTGGTGATGAAGCAATCATGCAAATGAACCTCCATGTAATGTAAATAGATAGTCTTTGGGCTGATTTGGTAACTAAGTTACTCTGACAGTTTCTCTATTATAATTCCTTGTTTCTGAATCAGGATTTTCTGAAATGTGTCTTAAATATCTTCAGTTTAAATAATTTAAACTGACTTCTCCCTTCCTTTGTCGAACTAAAGAGTAAGGTGATTCTACCAAAACAATGTTAGACCTTCTCACTCTGCCAGCAACAAAATAAATACTGGCTTATTGTTGTAATAAGACAAGTTTAGGTGATTTTTATTTTTTATTTTTTATTTTTTTTAAAGAAAGGTGTTGTTTTGGTTTAGATGGTCAGTTGATCTCTTGTTTCTGACTTTATTGATAATTTGGTGTCAAAGTCATATTATAGTGATTCATACTAAGGAGCTGTTTGCAATTGCTATTCTAACAGGTCTATTCTAATGCCAGGGATATTCAGAAGGCTACTCAAAATTTTACAAACATATTGGGAGAGGGATCGTTTGGCCCAGTATACAAGGCAACAATGCCTGCGGGTGGAGTGGCGGCAATCAAAGTACTAGCTTCCAACTCTAGGCAGGGTGAGAAAGAGTTCCAGACCGAGGTAAAGACTCAGTCTATGACTTTACATTGAAAGCATTCAGGCCTATGCTTTAATCTAAATGGACAGAGCAATGTATAGCATTTGTCTGCAGCCTAGACTGTCTTAAAAAAATTGTGCAAATATTTGATAACAATACTATTAAAAAAATGCAGGTATCTTTGTTAGGTAGACTGCATCACCGAAATTTAGTGAATTTGGTGGGCTACTGTGTGGATAAAGGGCAATACATGTTAATTTACGAGTACATGAGCAATGGCAGTTTGGAAAAAAGATTATACAGTATGTACTGGTCCTCCCATCTACTCTCTATTTCAAGTTTTTTATTATCCCAAATTAGGGCTCTTGCATTATTTACTTATGTTGAAGGCCTTAAAGCTAAGGTTTTGTATTTCTTTTTTTTTTTTTTTTCTTTTCTTTCTTTTTTTTTTTTTTTTTTTTAATAAATTTCAGCTGATGTTATTCTTGCTATATATTTTCTTTTTCTAAAAATTAGTTGATTGGATCTAAATAATGGCAGGTGAAGATGATACATTGACTTGGGATGAGAGGCTTCAAATTGCTCTTGATATTTCTCATGGAATTGAGTATCTTCATGAGGGGGTATGCCATGTGATTTCTACCAATTTCTGTAATAGGCTGATTTTCTAGCTTAGTATTCTGATTTAACAAAGCAAATGAATAAAGATGATAGCTTGATGTTTTGATTGATAATGGCTGAAAGCTTACAAAGGTAGTAGGTTTAGCCTACAAATCTCCTTTTAGCTACTTGAGGTTGCTACTCTCCAACTCCAATAATCCAATTCATGCCTACTCTTTTCTTTCCCTTCCCTCTCTATTTATACTAAGGACTATTAACCTAGTAAACTAATATTACTAGAATACCCATACTACCCCTCCTTAGGTTAGTCTATTACAATTTCTAGTTCTAGCATACTCTTTTTGCTCAAGTTTTCGGATCATGATGGTGTGTTGTGCAACAGGCAGTTCCACCAGTTGTACATCGGGACTTGAAGAGTGCTAATATATTACTGGATCACTCTATGAGAGCAAAGGTAAGCATGAAAGCTAAGAAAAAAAGTACTTTCTCTGGCACTATATATTGCAGATTTGTATTCCATTGATCCCTTATTGAATAAACATGTGAGTTAACTCTACTAAACAAACGTAAGCAGTTTCCTGGAACTATGCTCCCATCAAGCAACGCCTAAGATATGTTCATATGAGATTAATGCTGTGGTGGGCTGGTGGCTATGTTTACAGTGCATAATTTACTAAATGTGTTTGAAGTCATTAAATAAATGATTTCGGCTTTATACAAAATATATACTAGAAACAATTACTCTCATTCGCTTGATACAAATTGTGCATTTGTTATTAGGTCGCTGATTTTGGGCTTTCAAAGGAAGAGGTTTTTGATGGGCGTAAATCAAGCCTGAAAGGTACATATGGCTACATGGATCCTGCATATATCTCTACGAGCAAGTCCAGTTTGAAGAGTGATATCTACAGCTTAGGGGTTATCTTTTTTGAGCTTATAACTGCCATACATCCACACCAAAACTTGATGGATTATGTCAATCTTGTGAGTCTTTTCCTTCACTTCTCTGAAACGCTTGATATTCTGCTAGTTCTTTGGACAGAATTTCTTATTTAAGGAATCAAATTCTACGTAGTATTTTAGAATCTTGTTATCTTGACATAAATTGTCTTCTATTTTCTTGTAAAGGCGACAATGGACCCGGATGGAGGAGTCGACGAGATACTTGACAATCGACTAATCGGGAAATGCAGCTCAGAAGAAGCGAAGAGTTTGGCTAAAATTGCTTTCAGATGTTTACACAAGACACCAAGGAAGCGCCCTAGTAGTGGGGAAATCTCTCAGGCTATAGTAAAGATAAAACAGAGACGTCTGCCTAAAGTTGGAACGATGTCCTTTGCTGGGGATGATCTTAACCGATTAACAAGTATGATTGAAGACCAACAAGTGGAGTTAAGTAAAATTTTGAGCCGGAATGAAAATTAAGATCAGTATTTTGCTGTACGAATGATCCTAGTTTTTTTTTCCCACAAAGCGCAGTTGTAAATACTAAATACAATCCCTCAATTGGTGTTTATATTGTAGTCTTTAGACAACGAAAGAAAAATCACATTTAGAAGAAACAAAGAAGAAAATTCATTCCCTCAATTGATGATCAGTCACTGACAACCAGGAAAATACACGAGATGTGTGAAACTTGGATACCAGTGTTGGGAAGATGTACAGGTCAAACTCATATTTACAAATGTGTATACAGTCCAAAATGATGGTGTCAAATGTCCATATTCATATCGAAATGTCAAGCATCTATCATAAGTAGATTAAAATAAAATGAAAAGTGCGACATACAATGTATATATAAGCAGCAAATTTCAGAAAGATGAATTGTGTTTGGTTCGTACTATGTACAATGTACATCGTAGTGAATGTAAATACATGGAACATAAGAAACTAATGCAGGTAGGACTTACGACTCCTCTGCAATCACTATACTCGCTAATATGTAAAGGGTGCTTGGTTGTCATGAGCTCTGAGCGAGGACAGAAAGAGTGCCCACAGGATACTACATCACAGCATGTTTGGTTCATGTTACACAATATAATTTGCTTCTCAAACTAGAAACAATAGAGAATTCAAGACGCACAAGATGATACAAATATTGTATATGTATAAACAGTAGCAAAGATCAACGAAGTATCTATGTAGTATAACTGTATAGGACGTTGCGAAAGTCTAACCCGACAGTAAATAACTAATATACTGCATACATACTATAGTTGCAACAATATACACAAGTTTAAAACAACATTATCCCACTGTATTTGATACTCCACGTCTCTACCCATCCCTTAAAGATTGCGAGGGACGGAGGGAGTAATGGTCAATTGTTCGTAGCCATCCCTTGGCACAAGGAAGATCTACAAAGGAAACACTAAGAGGTGTAGTTTCCATTGGATTGACAACTGGAACTCGCAAGCAAGCAACAATATTTACAACAGCCCTGTTTTCAGTGACATACGAAGCTGAAAAAGAACCTAATAAGATCTATATAACTCACTCTAGACTTATTTTGAAACCTCGTACATATAACTTCCCGCAAAGTAGGGCTTATCAGAACTTGCATGAAGTTCCAAACCTCGGCATAAGCCTTTGAGCAGCCCTCCCTGCTTTGTGATTCACAAATGTCGGGTGCAGGAACTTCTGGAAGTTTTCAAGAAACGCCAACCATTCTTCTTCATTCATATCTGCCAGATTCACAAAACTTGAACTTGATGAGAAAAACTCGTTTGCACTTTTGTTCATTGGTGTATCATTAAAGCATCTTTCTTGTTGTATTGCATTTTGTTGAATCCAATTATTGTCCCCCACACTACTGATTCTGCCTTCTTTGCTCTTGGTACCAGTAGCTGCGTCTATCCTCTTCCCTTCTTCAGAGCCCTCTTCAAGTTTGAAAAGAAAATTCATACCATTTTTCCCTGAAGAGGTCTTTTGAAATGATAGTTTGTCTTCTAAAGTTCTGCTTAAATTCCCATAAGAAGCCTCACATTCCAAATCAAATAGAAATCCATCCTCATCTTTAGGACTAGTATTTATCCCCATCTCACTCCTTTGCAAGAGTGATCTGGCCTCGATGCATAGGAGCTCTAGCTTACTTGGCTCCTCTGCATGACCTTTAAACTCCCTACTCATCATCTCACCAACCTCAGCAAGACAAAACCCAAAAGATGCCGCTTCCTTGAGGAAAATTGTACAAAGGATCAACACCCGGAGGCAAGCCTCATGAATCATCGGTAACTCCACCCTGAGCAACTCAGAGTCATAAAAAGGATCAAGATTTTCTATATACTGAAGTTCGTCTTCAGAAAAAGGGATTGATGCCTGTGGCCAGTGGATCCATTCAAAATAAGGGTCTTCCAAACTTTCTGGGAGGCTAAGGCCATGATCAATAGGAACCAAATCTACCTGATTGAACCGTCCATCCCCATCATCAAGCTTCCTGACCAGAAGGTTTCCAGCATGTCTATCTGTATTTAGCATGCGAATATCAAGAATTCCTATCCGATGCACAACAGAAACAGGAAAGCTAGAGGTCCCATGATCACTAGCATCGCAGTCATGAGGAATATACTGCTGAAATGACGCAATTTTGCTTATATGCTCTCTTTGCTGGTGGCCATTCCCATTTACACCGTCATTGTTTACATTGAAGATTGGATGAGTTATCTTTACAAGAGCAGTTAAAGGCACATTGGCAAAACCATCATAGTCAAGTAGGTAAGCTGCTACTTCTCTGAAACCCGTTTCCCCCACCCGAACTGAACATTTGAGTCCCGGTTGACCAAGAGCTTTTCCAATAAAACCTTTAGGGTTATTTGGAGCAAAAGGCTCTTCATCAGTTGGCTTAATAATTGCAGCATTTTCACCATTAGAATCCCGGAAAAAATAAGCACCACCAAGACCACTACGTACAGGTATAGGATCAACGCCATTCTTCATAGCCTCCACAATATCACTCACCAACTGCTTTATCCCAAAGAAGTGACTTGAGCAACCTATGACTTCTATTGGGCTGCTTTGATCTCTTTGACAAAGATCCTGAACTGAAGGAGAGAGACATGGTGTTGATGAACTTCGGTGCAAGCAATTTCTAGTCAAAAGAAGCGGCGAATGGTTTCTGACAGTACTAAGGTCATTCTTTAAAACTGTATCCCCACATGTCAATGACGTCTCCTCAGTTGGGACATTGAGAGAAAGCTGCAGTTTTTTCTTCACAGTACGAGCATTTTCACATCCATCCAACTCAATTCCCATGACACAACCACTTTCAGTCTGGACAAAGACACGTCTTCTTCCTGCCTGATCACCTTCCATTGTCTTACTGTTGAGGCATGATTCCCCCCTCAGAGGCCCTCTCACTGATGCTGCAGCCATTTAGTTCTGTACGAAGCTTACTAATTTAGGAAACATGAAAGGAAGAAAGAAATGGGAACCTTTCAGCTTCTGCCGTGGCAACTGCAGAGAACTGTTCTCTGGAGCACAGACCAAGCCCCCGTGGTGGCACTGACTTTCTAGATTTAATGATCGAAATCCAAATGCTCATAGTTAACATAGCCAGAATCAAATTGCATCCATGGATCTCAGTTATGACTGATTCAGTGTCAAGACTGAGTCTGAACTACATTGGCAAAGCTGACCACTAGCTGGGATATGACAAAGTTCAAACATTAGTAGAAAGATTAATAATTGTTTTAGCATCTAAAAGGATAAACGGACAATTAAATTACTTAACGGCAAGAAACAAAAATATCAAGAAAGTACATACATATCCTGATCAGAAAACATAAGATAGCTATCAGTCCTCATAAACTCAAAATAAGTGCAACAGCTTGCAACTTATAGCAAAAACCCAAAATTTAGATTAATTTGGAAACAGCCGCCTTGAGCTAGTTCATAAAAGGTCCTGAGGACAATGGAGCAATACTGATATACATTTAAAGAACCAATTCTACGAAGTACAGATCCACATATATTTTATACACTTCAAGAAAGTTTTAGCATACAATAAGAAATGGCCATAATATAGTAGCACAAACACTTTGAGGCTTCTCATGGGGGTATGGTTTAGATGTGTAAGCATTGTTTCCTACATAGGCAAATACTAACATCTTCTGAATACTAACGATTTTGAAGCACTAGAAGCGCAAACTCATCATGGCAAATGTCCCTCCACAAATTATAATTGATTTTCACTCCATTTGTGGCAGAATCCTTTCCCGCACAGGCAATAATATTTTAGATTGTCTAAATAGATTAGCAAAAATCATTAAAATTGGTAAATAAATAAACATAAAAGGTTTTTTTATTATAAAATTGTGCAAGAACGCCACACTAATTTATCATAAATTAAAACCCAACATAAATTATCCCCACACCTAAAATATATCAATATAATGAAAGGAAAATAATCCCACTCTTCAAATTTCCTAGTCCTCGAATACATTTAGTAGTAAGGGTGAGCAAAAAATAATCGGAACCGAAACCTGTTAGGAACCGCGGGTTCCGGTTCCGGGTAGTAAAATGGAGAACCTGTTGCAACAAGTTACGGTTGAGGTTCTCAATTTTTTGGAACCGGAACCATAGGGTACCCTGCAACCTGTTAAAAGTATCACTTAATTTTAAATTATACATCAATTCTAACTTATTTTTTAAATAATAAATATCAAAATCACAATTATAAATATACGTATTAAATTTGTTAGACAACTACTATTAGTTTGTTTATTTTGCAAGTTGAAAACATTATAAATTAAGCATATTACAAGACAGGGTACTATAAAACATTATAGTCATTTGATTAAGATTGCATATATACTCGTTATGGTTCATAGGCTAATACAAGACTTAAAAATTGACTTGTGGTCCTTGGACCCCATCATGGAGGAAAGACTTGAGAATTTTTAATTTTTTAGTCAACCGAATGTTCCCAGGAAAAAGAGAGAAGCATCCAACGTGGGAAATCAGGATGTATGTAAAAGCCTAAATAATGAATTTATTTGTTCTGACTATGACATGCAGAGAAGCTATATGGACACAAACCTAACATTAAAACCATATACACATATGACATATCACAATCATGCCAAACATACAACTATAAAAGTCCTAAATTTGAAAGCAATATCACCAACGGTCACCGCTTTCATTCATGCCTTTCAAACAAACATACATCAACAGTCGTCTCTTTCTATACCACATTTCAAACAGACAGACATACTGGCGCAAGGCCACCAGTCTCTTCAATTCCTGGGGTGACGGCACTACCTCTTTACTACCAACTTGGTCACTCCAAGTTTCGATTGACTTTATAATATATGTTTTATACATACTAATATTTGTCCAAAAACATTAAGCTGTGCAAGCAAGAATATCACAAAACTAAGAACCAGAAGCAAGCCTATATTCTTCTTCAAATAAACAATAATACTTCATTAAAGCTTCCACAAACATAAAGCCTCTCACAGTTTATAATACCACAATCTTACGACCCCGCCTAGATTTTAAACACCCAACCTCGAATAGTCATATGCACTTTATCCACTTCTCAGTTCTCATTGCTGAATGCAAATGCTTCACCAACAACGAACATGTAGAAGTTCGCAGGACCAATCACTCTGCCATGGATTTCTAACATCCTTGCTTAATGAATTCATTAACCTCTTCCCCTGTTGAACCGTCACTTCCAACAAAACGATGAAATAATAATCTGACAACTCCCTACTTCGCTAATGCTTTGTGATTTCTCCCTTACTAATTTCATAACATAACACTCATCAATTTTTACCTTCCAAGCCACTAATTTATTTTGCTCCCCAATTCACATCTACCATATATGATGTAGCCAACAAGAGAATTATATGAAATATATGATAAATACTCTATGTCCTAACTCAAACAGCAAAAGTAAACATTTTAATTTTACCCATTTTTTCAATCTATTTTATCTCTAAACGTTGAATCCGTTTCCAACCAAAAACACACCCTTACCAAACATCACCGGCATTAAACAAAAGCCGTGACGAATTAAGTATAACCTAAACCTATACGGCATCTAAGCCTATTTTTATGTCATTACACAACAAAGGGTGTCGGGTATTTTGTATACCACATTTGCAAATGTGCAATCTTCACAAAATCATTTGTGCAAAATAAAAATAAAAAAAAAATGATGTGCATTTTTATTCACTCCATAATCCGTAACAATGTCCTTTTTATGTGTGTGCCGTGTGCGTGTAAGGAACGTTGCCAAATATTCTTGAATGTGGTGTAAGTGTAACGATTACAAAAACTCCTAAAAAGCTAAAATCAATAATGATACATCAATACTTTCAATAATGCATTTAACATGAAATTTTGTAAATCGAACAATTTCAAAAGCATTAGGTATACCCAGGTGTATAATAAAATGTACCAAGTATATATAACTAAGATTTTTTTTATAATGAGAAAAATCCTAAGTCATGAAATCATTTCTCCCAAAACACACCGCATTGACAGGGGAAGATCAAGCTACATTTTTCATACCATATAAAATTTTTAATCAAACTTAGTTCCAAATTACCTCAACTAATCATCAAAATATTTCAATTTACAAAAACATCAAATATGAACATATGATCAACATTGCAAAAAATTGGGACTTGTGAATAAAATCAAACATGATCAAAGAAATATATCGCAAAAATTCTGAAAACCCAAAATACCCAGTTCCATAAAAACTTCAAATAATGAAATTTGATTTCAGAAATTTAAAAACAAACAGATATAGAAACTTACCGCCGGTAACAAAACACGGCCCGGAGAAAATCAGCGCAATGGGAGGAGAGAGATCAGCAACGGACGGTTGAGATTTAAGGGGTTTGAAGGAAATCAATGGCTAATCTTCTGATTAATCCGTAAATTTGCCACTCTCTCTCCTCTCTTCTCTCTCTATCTCCCGCGAATCTTTAATGCGAGTTCGAAACGCCCCTTTTCAAAAAGAAAATCTCAGGGTTAATATTGTAATTCATAATTTTTGGGAATATAGGGAAAACTCGAATTAGTGTAGATTGTCAAAATTATTTATTACGTGGCATTTGTGAAAGTTCCACGTGGAAGTGGTTCCGTGAAATTGGTGTTTTTTAGTGACGTGGCACTAAAATGTTGGAAAATTTTGGTAGATTATTTTAAAAAATATATATATATAACAGATTTTTTTTAATTTTAATGTGTCTAGCTCTTGGCCTAATTGAAGGTTTGGTTTGATTTTCCTATTTTGCCCTTTCATTGCTACTATTGAGAAAGTTCTAGAGAGAGTAGAATTTTTAATTTACCATATTGTCCTAAGATAAATTTCATGTCTTCCATTTTTCCTTGACTTTGGAAACCTAGGCCCAATGAAATAAACCATGATAGGCCCATTGAATTGACTTTCATTGACTAGACCTCTCCCTTTGAAAGTCAATTCAATGGCTAATAAAGGTCAATGAAAGTCCAGGTGGACGATTTACTAGTATGTGTTAATTAAAGGTCGGCAATTTATTATGTTCCATATTATTCGAATAACAACTTTTAATTGGCGCTTAAGTGAGTGGGTAGCTTTCTGAACTTTTAAAGGGACTTAAATTGAAGAATAATTCAGTAAAAATTTAGGGTTGTCTATCGTTTATCAAACGACAAGCACTTAAACTCTTACTCTTTTCGTTTTCTTCTTAGCAATCTAGGCTTAACATCATCATAGGTTTTGAATAGTAGTCTTATAACGTATTGATCATTATAATTAATTTCTGCAATGTTTCTAAACTACTTACAATTATACATGATGGATGCTGGCTTCGCTACAATGAGGCTTCATCTCAAGATTGACCATACAAGATTTGATCTCGTGCTTCCAATCATACTTTATTTTAGATATATGAAGGAAGATGGCACTAACTTCACTACAATGAGGTCTCATGTCTCATCTCAAGATTGAACACATTACCTCCGTTTCTTATTACTTGCAATGATTTGACATAAAATGTGAGTAGAAAATGTCTAATCGTTGCTAATAATAGGAAACATAGATAGTATAAAATTTGATTTCATGACTACAGCTCATCTAGAAGCACTAAGAGGATCATACTCTTTTACACTTTCTAAAACGCACGAGGAGAAACTTATGTAACCTTGAAACGTTACTCCCCATTAAAACCTACATAATTATATAGATATAGAGGAATTAGCACTAGCAGAATAATTAAGCACTAATAGAAGATAAAGTGGTGTTAGTTTTAAACCTATACGTTTGGCTTAATCAAGTAGAAATTGAATTCATGTTTGCTGAAAGGGAAACTAAAAATAGTGTTCCCAATAAAAATGTGTGGTACAGTAATTACTTTCCACCTACAACCTGCAGCTTAGTTCATGCAATTGGGGAAAAACTATGAAAAAGTAGGTGAATTATTTTCAAACTTATGAACCAAAGATTCTGCACCAAATTTATGGCAATTGCAACATTTACGGACTATTCTCTCCACTCGGTTTGATCTTTTACACCATTCCTTCTTTTTTTTATTTTTTTTTTTTTATACCATCACTATTCATTCTACATTTCTACTACATCCTATATCTACCCGTATATACATATATAGTACTCTGTATGTAATTATGTATAATACTTCCTCGGTCTCGGTAAGTAGATCCCGCCCCTAAGGCCCCAACTAGTATCCTCACCTGAGAACATTTTAACTCCAAAACTTTAAGATCTAACATAAGAAGTTATGATATGTTGATGCAAAGAGAATAGAGTAATAAACAATCGAGATTTTAATATACTTCACATATAGCCATCTTTTTACTCATGATTTGTGTTACTTAAAACATTACGGTCTAAAAAGTCGTTATTGATAAAATTCCGATTTAATGATTTATTTTGGTTTGAATGCCGATATAAAAATCAAGGTATGTTTTATTGTTGTCGTAAGTAAAAAAAGTACTTTGTATTTCATTTTATTTTTGAACAATTTATCCAATGTATGGAATATATTTTTCCTTACAAATTGTATTTGTACTTTTCTTCTTTTTTTTTTTTTTTTTTTTGTCTTGTTTGACTTTTCATGGTCTCCCAGACACGTCTAAAACCATATATGTCTCTAATTTTATACACGTAAAAATTATAAAAAAAAATACTTAATACGAATAAAGACCAAATACGGTCCCTAAACTATTTGATTTGTTCACTTTTAGTCCCTCAACCATCCAAAATGGTATTTCTAACCAAATAGTTTAGGAACTAATCATAATTAGCAATGGTTTAGGGAGAGTAACAGACTATCAATTTGTAAGTCAAAAATTTTACAATTTGACCTAAATATTAACAATAGGATAAAAATTTAGGGACCAAGAAAGTATCGGACTACCAGTGTATGAGTGCATTTCAGCGCATAGCTGCTATGCATTTACAATACATATAGGATGATAGAAATGTAAATTTGGCAAGCTTCAAAATTAAAAATGAAAAAAGTTGATTCTATAGTGGTACATTATAATGTACCATTATGCATGTAAAATTTACCATTAAAGTATAAGTTGTCTTAATAGTATTTTTTGTGTAGTATTATGCATGTAGTGGTACTTTTGTCATTCTATAGGTTGAATATTTTCTCTCAAAATACTTACCACTTATCACCTATTATACAAGTAGTGGTATATTTATCGTTCAAAACAGTTATGCGCTAAGAGTTAATCACCAGTGTATGCCCATCTTGAAGTGGCGAAGAAATAATTTAAACCCAGCTTTGTTACTTTACTTCACCTCCTCGGATGTCAGAGTGTTGCTAAAGTCTATTTTACTTTTTTTTTTTTTTTTTTTTTAATCAGAAAAATCCACCCACACCATCTTTACTACGGAGTAATTATTTTCCCATTTTATTTGAATTAAACTACCAAGTATAAATACTACTGACATCCTGTACTTGTATTTCTGTATAAGTTTCTTCTCCTAGATTTATTTTCTCTTACCACCGATCTACCGAACTTAACAACTTGTTATACATCTGTACATACATAGTACTTACAAGTTTTCGATTTTTATTTTTATTTTTTATTTTTAAGGAATAGTACTTACAAGTACATCTTGTCAAAAAAGTTACAAGTGTGGTAATTTTATTTAATTATTTTTCCAAATTATACAATGGCATCAGTAAAAAAAAAAAAAAGAAAACTACATGATTCGAACTTAGGTAATTGCTAGTTATGCAAGTGAGGCCTTAAGGTGGGAGGAAAGAATAAGGAAAATTCTCACTTCTAATACGAGTAAAAGCAAATTAAATTATTAATACTCCGTAGTTGTTTTACTCCTATTCCTTCAAAAAAATAAAAATAAAAATAAAAAAAATATTGTACTACTCCGTATGAACTATAAAGTACCTATAGTCTCGCATTGTGAAGTTTTTTTACACTTTTTTTTTTTTTTTTTTTGAGGAAAAGTTTATTTTACACTATTTACATATTAATGTGACTATTTTTAAAATTAATATATGGAGTAACTAATCAATTGTTATTGTGTACTCTTGTGAATTTGTGATATATTGTTGGATTAGTTTCAATGTATTAAGAGGGTCAAACTTGATCGTCTTGATACGTGTGTCAGTCAAACTGTTGTAATTATTTAAAATAAGAGGACAATATTGATACTCTCAAATACTTGTGCGTTGATAAATGTGACAGTCAAATGGTCGGAATAAAATACAAATGTAATTCATGGTATTTTACATTGAATTATTTCAACCATTATGATTTAATGAGTACAATATTACATTTACACTACATTCAATCATGGTCTATAATTCTTTCAAAAAAGAAAGTATGGTCTATAATTGCTAAGAAGTAAATATAATATACATAATCTTATGGTATCTAACATTTCCTCATAATTAGTGATTAATAAGCTTATTGCAATTCAAAACTTAATGACGTAAATAAACCAAATTTCAATTACATAAAAACTCAAACCAACAACCTAAATCTCATACTTGTATCACATTCGATTATTCTATAAGTTGATCCCGAGTTGAACAACTTTTATAACCCAAATTTAAACACAAATTGATTATTTTTCCTGATTACGACCTAAATCGATTTTCTTTATACAACCAATCTCTCCAAGTACTCTTACCCAAGGAACACCCATAAATTAGCAATGAGACATTAAAGACGTATCATCTCACGTGGCAAATCTTCTAACTTGATTCCCCCTTTGACTCCCCTCTCTCTTTCTTCCAACCCAAAACCCACCAACTCCTAATTTTTTTTTTTTTCTTCTCTCCCTAAAAAAAACCTTAAAATTAATCTAGTACTACTACTGTCTCTGCTTGTACTACTGTTACTACTTCAAGTAGATTTTAGAGAGAGAATTAAAGAGATCATCGATCAAAGTAATAGCATTTTTTTTCTTGCTTAATTTGCAAGAACAAAATCTGGGTTTTTAAAAAAACAAAAAAAAACAGAGGAACCCATATTGTTTATTTTTTATTGGGAACAGAGTAGAAGAAAGTTTTCATTTTTTTTTTTTAATTTTTAATTTTTTATATTAATTTCTTGCTTTCCAAATTTATAATATGATATAAATTTGAAATACGGAAACCCAAAATCAGACACCAGACAAAGAGACAGCCAGAGTGTTAAATTCTTCTCATTATTATACCATAATTTTTAATTTCTGGGATTTTTGATGCAAATTGAAGGAATTTAGAGAGAGAAAGTGGGGGATCAAGTAAAATGGTGATGAAGATGAAATGGGTATCCAATTGGAAAGGAACAGGAGAATCAAAGAAAGGAAGAATGAAATGGGGTGGTTTTGTAATGATTCTCTCTCTAACTATTTTCTCTCTCTTCACTCTTTTACTGCTTGCTAGATATACTGCTAAACAACATCACTCTGGTTTTGATAATTATGGTGGATCTTCTTCTTTCTCAATCTTTGCTTGG